TTGCTTCAAGTTAAAAACTTATCATTTGGAAGCTTTTTTATCATTTGTCTTTTCCAAGGAGAGACAAACCATGTGAAGAACATTTTAAAGAGCACATTCTAACTACCCCTGGCTTCTGTTGACACTGACAAAACCATTTTAGTGTTCTAGCTTCTGTTTCCTTCTTGATATAGTAGGGTTAATTATATTTCTTTGCAAAGCACACTGAAAGTGCTTGTTGAGAACCAGTGTGTAAGTATTGCTCATTATTAGTCCGGCCTCACGGATCCTTTTATTAGGCAAGGGGGTGGGGATTGTTTTAACAATTCAACACTTGGCCTCCTGCTAGGGATAATTGGGTGATTTCTCTTTTTGTTCATAGCATTTCCTGAATCAGATTCATTTCTTTGTGTTCCATCTCTGTCTTTTCCAGACAGCCATTCCTTTGACTAAAACTATAACAAGACATGATAATCTGTTTGCATATTTTAAAAATCAACCAAACCACTTTGGAGTTTGAAACCTGTTTGGAAAATGGCCTTAAGGTTCTACCATTAAAGAACCTTTACATTGGCTCCGTCTTCTCACAGAGCACTTGGGAGTTTGCTGTGATCCCTAGGCAGCTGCCAGAGTGAGTGAAGGTTAAAGTCCACACAGGACCTTAGTGGTTCGGAGAATCTGAACAAGACAATGGCAACATTTCCATTACAGTGAGGGCCAAAGCACCTCTTAGGCTGTGATGGTAATGAGCTGACCAGATGCACCAAACCATTTTAAATGGCAAGCTTCTCACATTGCCATGAGTGACCCCTGCTTCCTTAGGGGACAGCAGATTTATCAACTGCAGTCAGTGCTCCTAGGGTTTAAGGTGCTTTAAAGCGGGGGATGGAGAGGAGGAGTTAGGGAGGGCACCTGGCACTATGTTATGGTGTGTGTGTGTGTGTGTGTGTGTGTGTGTGTGTGTGTTCATTTGAACCAAAGAGAGACTTCCAAGAAATTTACACATTGAAACTTAGTATATAACTGGATTTAGCTTACAAACTCATAGGTAAATAAGTTGAGTGGTTTGCAAGAGTATACATATGTATTAACTGAAATAGGATAGATTCAAGGGAGAAAGCAAAAATCAAAGTTCAGCAAAATAAAACACCAGGAAATAGGTATACCCAAAAGGGGTGGAGTGAGCTAGATGCCCATGGCTCAAGCCTATAATCTTAGCTACTTATAAGGCTGAGATCTGAGGCTGTGATTCAAAGCTAGCCCAGACAGAAAAGTCTATGAGATTCCTATTTCCAATAAACTACTCAGAAAAAGCTGAAAGAGCACTGTGGCTCAAGTACTAACCTTGAGAAAAACATCTCCAGTGACAGCACCTAAGCCCTGAGTTCAAGGCCCAGGACCAGCACAAAAATGAGGGCAAAGGGAGAGGTATGGATGGGACTAAAAGGGTGGACAAATGAAGAGAAGAAGAGGGGGAAATGCAGATAGAAGCGAGGGAAGAAGCAGGAGGAAGATGAGTGAGAATGTTGAAGGGCGTGTCATTGATCAAATTATATTGTATTTATAAACTGCTTTGTTAAATGGAAACTCCTTTGTACAGCTATTTAAAGATAAGTTAAAAATTTAAGAAATTAAACTTGAAAAAATAAATAACTGGACCTAAACCCCAACAGATAAAAACAAAATAATGGTGAGCACAATGAAAAGGTAATCCTTATTGCTAATTAAAGACTGAGTAGAAATTTCATCTTGAGCTTCCTAAAAGTAAAGCAAGTCCTGTTATATTATGTGTTTACTATTGCATGATAAGAGCAGAAAATTTATGTGGAAAGAGAACTGTTTTTCTGGAAGAAAATTCCAAGATGAAGTGACTTCACAGGCTGTTCTGAGAGAAACACTAGGCAACAGGGCAGCCCTTTAAGCAGGGCTTCTAAATCCCAGTCTCTGTATTCAGGTGGAGGTGCAACATGTGTCTAAATTTCTGCTTCTCAACAAGACTGACCTCAGCACACCCACAGGCCATTGGCTAACAACTTGTGAGTCTGCTGGCATAATTATTGTCCACTCACTGTTGTATCTTCTAATTCCCTGAAGAACATCCTAGGTGTTTATTAATGAACAATTCTAATCTGAAACAAGCAGACCTTGTAGTCTGTTTGGAAATTAGAGGTCCAGCCTCCAGGAGAATCAATCTCCCTCCACTCAGAGCAGGGCCTTGAGGGCTTTCAAGAAGATCCAATCCATTTTACTTACTTTTACTCTACTCAAGTTCTAGATAGATGGCAGGGTCCCTAGAGCATGGGGAAAGTATTATGACTTAAATATTTGTAATAGAGGGGTGACATTACAAGCCAGGAGGGCCCAGGCAGGAAATACATGAACCCACAAATCTCTGGTATAAATGCTGGACTAATGAAGTGACTAACAAGGGTCCAGGCTGGCATGGCCGTGTGTTGCCCAGTTTTAGCGCTGATTTTACATGAGATTTAGTCCATTAGAAACCTGGGCTTAAAATGTTTTTTTAAACATTTGCATGCCAAACCAAAACATATGTACAATTTCTATATGTAAAAGTCCTCAGTTTACAACCTCTATTATGAATCAAGGCCTTCTAAGTGCCTATCTTAACAAAAAAAAAACAAACAAACAAAAACAGATTCAGGTTGGCTCAGATTTTTTTTTAAGAAAATTGAATGTTGATTTTTTTTAAATGCCTTCCAGTGAGTTCATTAAACTTGCCTATTGTGTGGAAATGGACAGTTTCCCATTATTTAATTGTTTGAGCATTTTTTCCACTGCCTGAAATAATTTTCACTCTAGTACAATTGCTGTTAATCTCAGTTTTTGAGACCATCATTTATATTTGATGGGCCAGCACCATGGATAGCTACCATGCTTGTTCAGTGAAATGCTGCAGTCTGAAGTCACTGTCTAAGCAGTTTAGTATCCTGGGGATGCTGACCTAGGACATAAACGGTTTTGGGGTTTTCTTTTTGGTTGTTGTTGGGAGTGGGAAGAAGATCATTAAGAAATATTCTTGAATAACAGTTTATATTTGTGTGGTCATTTCTAAAACTGGTAGATGTACTAAAAAATGTCATTTTTATTTTGTGTCCGCAATTGTGCAGACTGCCACAGATGTATTATCCCATTTAATTTTCACAGAACTCTTTGTAGTTACTACAATCATTGTCTTCATCCCTATATTATAGATATGGGGACTCTGAAGTTAAGCACCTTAAATAATGTGGTCCTAGGTTCCATGGTTAATAAAATAGTAAAGCCCAAATGCAAACCCAAGCAGACTGACTTAAACCACTGTCCTCTGCTGATTGAAGCCCATGTCTGTATGATCAGAATAACATTCTTCCTTTGAACATTGAAAAGCAGATACATTTTGGACCTCACAGTATATTGAAAGTCAAATGATAAGAAAGAACAGATTTGCTGGGCGCCGGTGGCTCATACCTGTGATCCTAGCTACTTAGGAGGCTGAGATGAGAATTGCAGTTCAAAGCCATCCTGGGCAGGGAAGTCCATGAGACCCTTATCTCCAATTAAGCACCAGAAAACCAGAAGTGGCACTGTGGCTCAAGTGGTAGAGCGCGCTAGCCTTGAACTGAAGAGCTCAGGGACAGGGCCCAGGCCCAGACTTCAAGCCACATGATAAAGAAAGAAAGAAAGAAAGAAAGAAAGAAAGAAAGAAAGAAAGAAAGAAAGAAAGAAAGAAAGAAAGAAAGAAAGAAAGAAAGAAAGAAAAGAA